AGTAGTAGTATAGTAGAGAGTATAGTGGGTGGTGGTGGTGGTGGTGCACAACGGAGCCGGCAGCGGTAAAACGGCTGCAGCGGGTACGGCGGCAGCGGTAGGGGTAGTAGTAGTAGTAGCAAGCAGCAGCAGCAGCAGCACAAGCAAGTAGTAGTGTAGTAGTAGTAAGTAGTAGTAGTAGAAGTAGTAGTAGTAGTAGTGGTACAGAGGTAGACGATAGTCGGTGGTAACGGTAGTAGTAGTAGTAGTAGTAGTAGTAGTAGTAGCAGCAGTAGCAGCAGCTCGGTATCGGTAGCGGTAGTTGTAGTAGCGGTAGTAGTAGTAGCGGTAGTAGTAGCAGTATAGTGTAGTGGAAGTGGTAGTAGTAGTAGTAGTAGTAGTAGTAGTAGTAGTATGAGCAGCAGCAGCAGTTGCGGGTATCGGTAGCGTAGTTTAGTAGCGGTAGTAGTAGTAGCGGTAGTAGTAGCAGTATAAGTGTTAAGTGGAATGTAGTAGTAGTAGTAGCTAGTAGTAGTAGTAATAGTAGTAGTAGCACAGTCAGCAGCGCAGGCGGGTAGCGGTATGTAAGTAGCGGTAGTGTATTATAGTAGAAGTAGTAGTAGTAGTAGTAGTAGTAGTAAGTAGAAGTAGTAGTAGTAGTAGTAGCAGAGTAGTAGCAGTGTAGTAGTAGTAGTAGTAAGTAGTAGTAGTAGTTTTAGTAGTAGTAGTAGTAGTAGTAGTAGTAGTAGTTTTAGTAGTAGTAGTCGTGGTGGTGGTGGTGGTGGTGGTGGGTGGTAGCAGCAGCAGCAGCGGCACCGGCAGCGGTAGCGGCGGTATCGGTAGCGGTAGTAGTAGCGGTAGTAGTAGTAATAGTAGTAGTAGTAATAGTAGTAGTTTTAAACAAAAACTTCCCAAAAAGTGGTTACATTCATTTTTGTGGTTGCGGTGTAACTGGTTGCAGTTAGATAAGCCTTGGATAATGACTTGTGAACTTCTTACTCCATCATAAAATACTTAATGGGATAGGTTAGAAATCGCAGAATACACATTTCCGAAAAGATTTCTTCCTTTCTAAGATGAACCTTTCTTCGAATAGAGTGGTTAATTAATTTACAGTTTCATAACAATTCACTATGACAATGATGTGGCTATTTAGGATTATTTGTATTCTCCTTGTATTTCTTCTTTGGCTCTCCTTTATTCTACTTTTTATTTTCTTATTATTCATTGCTTACTTTTCTTCTTATTTTTCTTTATTTTTTCCTCTCCTATCTTTTGCTTTTCCCTTTTTCTTTTGGTCTGAATGGTCATGGGTTCGAAGCCATCCTTGAGCATGGCTGTCCTCTGCATAATAGAATATTCCTACCAAGAAGACTTTTTTTCTTTGAAATTCTCTCATCCTTCCAGCTAATAATGTGGCATAGTAAAAAGACTTCATTCTAGGTTTATAGTGGTGCAATATTATAAGGATCACTGCATTACGATCACAGCGTTACACTGTGATTAGGGGTCGTTCATAAATTTTGTAACGCTAAAGAGGGGGAGGGGATTTAGGGCAGCATTACATAGGGGTAGTTAGTTTGGCGTTTACATAATGGCCATAAAAGTGTTGTATAAATTATTACAATAAGTTCAGTCTTATCAACAGTGAATGGATTAAATGTGTTAGACTATGAAGAAACTGTTCAAAACTTGTCTATGTTATATAGTCCAATTAAATTGGCACAGTAGACTGTCACCCATACGTTCTCTATGATGGCATTTGCATTGTCGCATTGTTGACTTGTCGAAAATATTCACAACTATGCGTGCTTCCTGCATTCAAAAATTGTTCCCAATCTTTTTATTAGATGCAGGCAGAATCGCCAACTAATTCAGACTTTAATTATCGTAATATTGGTATGTAACAAACAAAATTAATTGTTTTTACTAAGGTAAATTTATATTTTATTCTTGTAAATAATGGCGGTCTGGGTAATGTCGCAAGCGTTACGTAATAATTTATGGAGATTCAAGTGCGCGTTATGGGGGTGAGATGAAGTTATTCGAAATACTCCAAAGGCATTAGGTAATTGATGGATGGTCTCTTAAGATTCAATACGATAGCGGATTGCCTAATAAAACATTTGCGAAACGACAGTGATTCGTAGTGCTCTGCTAGTTTTTTTAACCGATGTGTTGTATAAGATTTGCATCCGTCTGCTGATGTGTAATTCTATTAAACATGTAGGATGTAAAATATTAAAACCTATTACTAATATTCACGGATGCGCTTACGAAATTAAATTTCCCGCGATGCATTGCCTCGGTACGTTGAAATGATAGAAATAGTGCTTGTTCTGACAGGTAGAGCGCTGAAATCACAAACGTCGACTACCAAAGATATTTATGACAGCTAATAAAACTCGAATAAGAGTCTGCAAGGGTCGTTCGTTGTAGTATAATCAAATTACATATATGTATTCTGTGACATGTTACACTCTGTGTAATAATTGTTCTTGTATGTGTTGATAGATGTGTTACTTTTGAGCGTTTTTGGAACTTTCGCCACTATTACATTTGTTTAGAGTGAGTATTGATAGGACAGAACAAACCAATCATTACTCTGTTTATTATGTGTAATTAACGCACCCCATCACAATTAATAATAAAGTGCAGTTTAAGGGTCTTGGTTTTTTGCAGTTCCATTTTGTTCATCAAGAACGGGTGATTTCGTTCTCTGTACACCAGACTAGAATTACCTGGGAAAGTTGACTTATGCTTCTTGAAATCAGAAGATAGTTCAAAGGTGGGTTGCACAGAAATTCGTGGCAAGTATGAAAATTCCCGCGTTATGAATTTGTTTTTTGTTTGTTTCTTACTAAGTCCTGCTTTTGTATTGGTTATTTAAAAATCTCCTTCAGTGTTAAGGCAATATTCACATACCTTCAGGAGGAAGAAATTGCTGATTTAAAACAATAAGTCTATGTTGGTTGGAATCTCAATAATGGATGATGATATTCAAGCTGTGGATTCACCCCTAACGGCTAGCTCTGCGGGAATGGTGGCTCCAGATTTAATGTCTTCTCCATCAGTTACTGGCACATTTGCTAGTGGAACTATTGGAAGTCCAGCAACAGTTGTTCGACAGCCACAAATGCCATCTGTTCCTCCTGCACCGCCTGGTCAGTCAAAATATGCTCAGTTGCTGGCAGTTATAGAAGAAATGGGAAAGGATATTCGACCTACCTATGCAGGGAGTAAAAGTTCTGCTGAAAGACTAAAACGTGGTATTGTCCATGCTAGAATTCTAGTTCGTGAATGTTTAATGGAGACTGAACGCAGTGCAAGGCAATGACCTTCGGGTACACCAGACATATCATTTGATGCTGTTCTGCATAGTCTTCTTGAAGAATACATGCAGAAGAAATAATCCTCCTTTTCACATGCAAATGATCCTTAGCATTTCAGTGCTTTAAAGATTTACTTAGCAAAATTTTAATTTTTGTGTTATTTAAATCACACCAACATTCTGTGACCTGAATTTATTGTATATTTATATTTGTGTACCATTGTTCTTCCAAGTGTGACAAAAAAAGTATAGAAATATCTTTTCGGATTGTTGATGAGAATGGGCTAGTGTTGCACATAACAATACTCCAAACTTGTGCAATACAAATGTAGCACCTGAATTTCTAGTCTTGCTCTTGGTATCAGGGGTTAGAATTTTTAATGTGCTTTCCCACCCCCCCCTTAATTTTATTTTATTTTTCTTTCTTTTTATAAGAGGGAAAAAATTTGAATTGTAAAACTGCTTTGTTTTTTAAACAATAATAGAAATGTAATTACAAAAGCACTTAGCACTTCTGAAGGAAGGTTTCTCTGCGTTCAAAAAGGGGAATTGTGTAATCCCATTCAAGGTGTGTTAGAGAAGAGTTTGTCTGGTGTGTGTTGAACAAGATCCAACAATTTATAAGAAAGCCATGTTCTATTTACACTAATTGTCTGTTCTACTACAGTTGTACAACTGGTAATCCTTTGTTTATATACAGGGTTTTCAGAAAAATATATATTCTAGAGTGACATTTTATAGCCAAGAACAAAGAATTCATTCATACCATGAAAATACATTTTTGTAGAAATGTTTTCTATTTTATGAACATAACTTTTTGTGAAAAACATGATATAATCATTAAGATTGGAACTTGTGAGAAGAGTGCAATCATTAAAAGCAGGCATTAGTGAAATTGTACTTAATTAGCATTTTAATTTTTACATTTTTGATTTCCTAAAAAAAACTGTAGGATTTTTGTTTTTGAAGGAATCATCTTATCTCTTCAGAACAGACATACAGCCTAATCCGTGATGATTATAATCATAATGGAGAAGAAAATGTAACTTACTATTAGCTTGTACAAATATTATTTTATATTTAAGAATTATTCAGATTTACTTAAAACTTTCAATAGAAGTATGGGAATTCAGAAAAATAATTTTAATGGAACCCAGTGAAACTTCCTGCAAATCTGAAACATCATTGCTCAAATTTACTACAACTAATTTTGTGTTGAACAAGTCAATGCTCAGTTGCTCTATAAGAAAATACATTCCATGAGATGGGAAGTTTATGTCCCTAGATATTCAATTTAATAGCTTCATTTCTGATTTTCTATACTTCCTCACTAATGGTTCTCTTGCCTGTGTATGATGGTTGCATAGTATAATGGTGTAGATAGATATTTTACAAGTGGTTGATAAACCTTGTTTAGTGGCATTTTGGTTTGAGAGGAATCAAACTAAAAAGTTTACTAATTTCATTTGAAGGGTTTCAGAGGATTGGTATTCAAAGATTGTTTTACATGCAAGTCAATTTCTCAAAATATACGACAACTTATTAATTTTATTTCATTTTTCTTTTCTAAGATTTAATATTGTATCCTGAGCGTACAGTACAAGTTAAATGTATTTTTAAAAAAATACCTCTTAAAGATACACAAATTTCACTCAGCTAACTGGCGCCCTCTAGTGTGACATGCGTGATTCAGAGATTATGTATGGCTGTGCCTGGGTATATAATATATGGGAAAAAATTCTCATGGAATTTAATCAAGTTATGTGTTCACTGACTCCATAACTAATTTTTCTTTGCAATGGTGTGTGCCACAAGCATAAGAAGATTGAGTGCTACTTAATTATTTGATTCAATTTTGAGCAATCAATTTACATAAATTCTTACATGTATATTTAAATATGCATAGAGCTTCATATACTTTTACACAGCAAGGTGTTCATTTTTATTAATTAGAGGATTGAACAAAATTTTGTGCTTAAAAGCTTAATGCTGTAGGCCTTTCTTCAAAGATGGACTGTTATTTTTCCATGCTTTATAAATGCTGTGCTAGAAAGAAGTTTTATATCACAGAATTGGCTTGTCTAGGTGTTTTGTTTTAAATGTTGTGTGAAGAAGTGGATTACTGATTCCAAATGACATGTATATTTAAATGTTTCATTGAGTCAAGATTGTTAATTTATTTTGTTTCATTAAAAATGATGTGCGCCAATAATCAATGTAAATGACTCTGATCTGAAAAAATATTTTTACAAATGTAAACAAAAGACAAAACAATTCTTAGAAGACCTTTTAAGGAGTACCGTACATCTAAAGCCATTTTTCATAAATTTACACAGGTATAATTTTGTATTATCAAGTTATTTTACAGTATTTTATTTTATAGATGAACATAACCCCTTTGGCCTGTACAGTACTGTCTTCCTATGCTGTTAATGGCAAATGCTAAGTATGTATACTATTTCAAGTCAGTGTTAAGTAGTATTTTAACACTGATGTGGCAGTAAGTTATGACTCTACAGTACAGTAGTTTAGTAGTGCAGTATACAGTTCATAGTACAAATCTCATAGTGATACAGTTGTGAATCTTATTTCTAGAGGAATTACAAAACTGAACAAAATGCTATATACCATGCCATTATTAACAATCATGAAAGCAATTATAAATGTATTTTTGAGGCAGTAGAAATGATAGAATGTAAGCACTTATATATTTTTATCAGTAATTTGGAATAAAATATTTAGTGTTTTTGTAAATGTTTTGTTTCGTGTTAAATGAGTATACATGGTTTTGCAAGCAAACACACAAAAGAGTGAATTAAGATTTTTTTGTGCACAAGTAACAACACAAACAATGTGATAAAGCAAACATTGTGGTGAGTGTTTGTGAAATCACTGTGCTACATTTTATCGCAAGTAAACCTGAAAGTGTCATTAATAAAATCTTTGGAATCGTACTACTTGGTCAAATGAGAATTTATTCAGATAATATTATGATACTGACTTTTGTAATATCAATTACATTTGAGGGTCTGTTGCAATGGTTGAAATCGAAATCTTTTTACATTATTGTAGATGTTCTGTTCAGAACATGATTACATCTACAGCTCGGCTACTCACAGGAGATGTCTACGAAATCAAGTTGTGGTCTGTTAATTTTCATGGGAATGAAAGAGCAGATGGCAGCACAGGCATTTCAGAAAAAAAGTCTCTAATGGGTTCTGCAGATACTGATATGTTTCAAATGTTAATTTAAATGATTCAGAATTATGTATTGAAAATTGTTATTAGTAATCAAATATTGGATTGGGTTTGTGTTAAAGAACATTTTTATAATAGCAGAAGGTGAGTTCAATCAGTGTCAAATAACTTTTTCCTTACGTGAGAATCATTACATCAATGTTTCCAAAACATTTTTTATATGTTTTATAGCTTTCAAGTAATGTTGAAATGTGTATTGTTACTCCTATACCTTGAAATTTAATTAATAATTTACTTTGTAGTACTATTGCAAGATGGGAATCCATGAGGAGGAGTAATCATCTCTAAATACTTGGCATAATTTATAGTTGCGTATCAGATGTTTTTTCAATACACATTGAGAAAGTTAAAGATATTGAGATCTTTTTAAAAAGAGAATTATTTACCAACTTTCTTGGGTGTTGTATTTTCTCATTTTATTTCCATTATAGAAATAGTTCCTAGATTAATTAGATAAGTTAATGTATAAAAATTGTTGCGAAAATTATTGCTTTAACATTTTTACATAGTATTTCAGAATCAGTGATTATTATTGCTTTTACGTTTTTACATAGCATTTCAGAATACATGAATTTGCTAGACCTTTTTTTCAAAATGCGTTAAGAAAATCATTTTTAAGAGAGTTTTTCAAAATAATTTTCTGCAGGGAAAATGGTCTTGAATAAGTTTATTAAATGCTTTTTTATTTTATTTTGTTAATGTTTGAAGCTGTAAAGTGAACATTTTGAATCAAGAGTGTGTTTAGTTAAGATAAGTCTGTTTTGTGTAGAATGAGATCACAAATTATATTGGTCCTGTAGAATTTCATGAAACTGTATGATGAACTGCCATTTTAAAAACTTCATGAAGTGTTCTCATTTATGCATAATCTTTTAGTAGCAAGTGTCAGAAAAGTAGCAAATTTTAGGTTTATTATTTCTTTATTAAATCTTTTATCGAATGATAACATGAGATTAATTTTTTTTTTCCTCTCCAGAATTGTCCACACATTTATAGTGGTCTGTTGCTTTTCTGCAGCACAGTCAGGGCATACCACAACCACTAAGGACTTACCATTATTTATCGTAATTCAATTATTTTGAATGTGTTTCACTGAATGCCAATTTTAGTGTGACACACTAAGTGTGTCACACTAAAATTACACAGTGTGTCACGCAACAACTTAGTGTGACACACTAAGAAATTGCAAAAGGATTGTT